TGTTATGATTATGGCTTACAGCTCATGAAAACCCCAAATCCACAATCTCAGAAAATGAGAATATTCCATGCAATCAATAAAAACGGATTGTACATAGAACAATATCGGATCTCTGAAAAGTAGAAGCATGCATATGTACTCAGTACTTGGTTTGGGCCCCTTTCGCAGCAATTACTGCCTCGATGCGGCGTGGCATGGAAGCTATCAGCCTGTGGCACTGCTGAGGTGTTATGGAAGACCAGGATGCTTCAATAGCGGCCTTCAGCTCTTCTGCATTGTTCGGTCTCATGTCTCTCATCTTTCTCTTGGCAATGCCCCATAGATTCTCTGGGGTTCAGGTCAGGCGAGTTTGCTGGCCGATCAAGCACAGTAATCCCACGGTCATTGAACCAGGTTTTGGTACTTTTGGCAGTGTGGGCAGGTGCCAAGTCCTGCTGGAAAATGAAGTCAGCATCCCCATAAAGCTCGTCTGCTGAAGGAAGCATGAAGTGCTCCAAAATCCCCTGGTAGACGGCTGCGTTGACCCTGGACTTAATGAAGCACAGTGGACCAACACCAGCAGATGACATGGCTCCCCAAATCAACACAGACTGTGGAAACTTCACACTGGACTTTAAGCATCTTGCAGTGTGTGCCTCTCCATTCTTCCTCCATACTCGGGGTCCTTGGGCCTCTCCATTCTTCCTCCATACTCGGGGTCCTTGGCCTCTCCATTCTTCCTCCATACTCGGGGTCCTTGTGCCTCTCCATTCTCTCCATACTCGGGGTCCTTGGGCCTCTCCATTCTTCCTCCATACTCGGGGTCCTTGTGCCTCTCCATTCTTCCTCCATACTCGGGGTCCTTGTGCCTCTCCATTCTTTCCTCCATACTCTGGGTCCTTGGTTTCCAAATGAGATGCAAAAAGTTGCTCTCATCAGAAAAGAGGACTTTGGACCACTGAGCACCAGACCAGGTCTGTTTTTCTTTAGCCCAGATAAGAAGCTTCTGACTTTGTTTGTTGTTCAGGAGCGGCTTGACAAGAGGAATACGATATTTGAATCCCATGTCCAGGATTAGTCTGTGTGTGGTGGCTCTTGATGCATTGACTCCAGCCTCAGTCCTCTCCTTGTGAAAGTCCCCAACACTTTTGAATGGCCTTTTCCTGACAATCCTCTCCAGGCTGCGGTCATCCCTGCTGCTTGTGCACCTTTTTCTTCCACACTTTTCCCTTCCACATAACTTTCTATTAATGTGCTTTGATACAGCACTTTGGGAACATCCAACTTCTTTTGCAATTACCTTTTGAGGCTTTCCCTCCTTATGGAGGGTGTCAATGATGGTTTTCTGCACATCTGTCAGGTCAGCAGTCTTTCCCATGATTGTGATTCCTACTGAACCAGACTGAGAGACCATTTAAAGGCTCAGGAACCCTTTGCGGGTGTTATGGCTTAATTAGCTGATTAGAGTGGGACACTTTGAGCCGAGAATATTGCACCTTTTCACAATATTCTCATTTTCTGAGATTGTGGATTTGGGGTTTTCATGAGCTGTAAGCCATAATCATCACAATGATGACAAATCACGGCTTGAACTATCTTGCTTTGCATGTAATGAGTCTCTCATATATTAGTTTCACCTTTTAAGTTGCATTACTGTAATAAATGAACTTTTGCACGATATTTTAATTTTTCGAGTTTCACCTGTAGATGTCCATATATCTAGATGTGTTTTTTCTGCTCAAATGCAATAAATGAGTAAAACTCATTAAATTAATAATTCAATTAATAAAAAAAAAAAAATATTATTAATAAATACAAGAAAATTAATAATACTAATTAATTATTATTATTATTATTACAGGGTGGCACAGTGGCTTAGTGGTTAGCACATCTGCCATGCAGTAAATGGATCATGGGTTCGATTCCCAGCCATGGCGCCTCCTGCATGGAGTTTGTATGTTCTCCCTGTGTTTGCGTGGGTTTCCTCCCACACTCCAAAGACATGCTGGTAGATTAATTGGCTCCTGTCTAAATTGGCCTAGCTTCATCCCTGGCCATGCGGGATCTCCTGCATGGTAGGGGTTGGGGAAAGACCTGGCAACCTACCCTGTAACAATAATTGCTAAAAGAATTCATGGAAAAAGTCACTTGCAAGTGACAGTCCATGCAATCACCCAAGGGTCAGAGATGGATAGATAGATTCATAATAATTATTTAAAAAATAAACTAAAAAATAAATAAATATGGAATAATAAATAAAAAAGTGCAAAAAAAAAGTGGGGGCTGGGGGGCAGGGGATTAGTGGACATGATAAGGAAACAACAATAAAAAAAGTAATAATAACACTAATTTTAAAAAATTACTAAAATTTGGACTAACCTTATGTGGACATGCTCAATAAAACAATAATAATAATAATAATAACAATAATAATATAAACAACAATTAAGTAATTAAATTAATAATAAATACAATGAATAAATAATAATAAAACGGTACCAAAAAAAGTGGGGTGGGGGGGGGGGGGGGGGGGTTAGTGGGACATGATAAGAAAACAACAATAACAACAATAAAAAAAGTAATAATAATTTAAAAAAAAATTACTAAAAGTTGGACTAGCCTTTTATGGACATCCTAAATAAAATAATAATAATATAAACAACAATTAAGTAATTAAATTAATAATAAATACAATAAATAAATAATAATAAAATGGTACCAAAAAAAGGGGGGTTAGTGAACATGGTAAGAAAACAACGACAAAAAAAACATATAACATTTAATAACAATATTAACAATTTTAAAAAATATTAGGTGTTGGACTAACCTTTTTTATGGACATCCTGATGTACTCAAAATTGTTTTCTACATGAGCATGTAGGTCACTGTACATGACCCAGAATTGGCCTCTCTTTACTCAGAATGGATCCAGTATCTCTGTGTCCTACTCTTTTTCTATTTTTTAGCCAAAAGAATTATCACGTGGCTGCTGCCACAAAACACGCCATCTCCTCATCACTCATGTTAGCCGAGCACAAAGCACCACACAACACAGCAAACACCAGGAAGCAGATGAAGAAGCTAAAAAAAGCTAAAAAAGTTAAAAAAGCATAGCAACAAATGATGAAACAGGTGATATTTTTAGACCCCTTTCACACAGGTGTTCCGTATGTCCCTTTTTCTTCTGTCCATTTACAGAGGAAAAAACAGACAGTCAATGTATTTCTATCGATTAGCGGATGTAAACAGATGATCATCTGTTTACATCCGTTAATGTCTGCATCTGTTAACATCCTTTTTTTGAATGGAAGAAACCCCTATTTTTCTTCCGTAAAAAAAATTAAACGGACGGAAAACGGATGTAAACGGATGAAAAAGGGTGTAAACAGACAAAACATATGTAAACAGATGAACAAACTGATGTAAACAGACATACGGTATTGGTAAAGGATGTAAAAAAACGGATGTAAACTGATGAAAAACGAATGTAAACTGATAAAAAAAACGGAAGTAAAGGGATAAAAACAGATGTAAACTGAAGAACAAAAACGGAAGTAAAGGGATAAAAAACAGATGTAAACTGATGAAAAAAAAACGGAATTAAAGGGATAAAAAAATGGATGTAAACTGATGAAAAAAAAACGGAAGTAAAGGGATAAAAAAACGGATGTAAACTGATGAAAAAAAACGGAAGTAAAGGGATAAAAAAATGGATGTAAACTGATGAAAAAAATCTGAAGTAAAGGGATAAAAAACGGATGTAAACTGATGAAAAAAAAAAACGAAAGTAAAGGGATAAAAAAACGGATGTAAACTGATGAAAGACTAATGTTTTTTCCAAGAAAAAACAAATCAGTTTCCATCCGTTTTATTTTTCTCAGTTTACATCCATTTTTTTCATTAGTTTACATCCATTTTTTTTCATCAGTTTACATCATTTTTTTTTTTCATCAGTTTACATCCGTATTTTTTTCATCAGTTTACATCTGTTTTTTATCAGTTTACTTCGATTTTTCATCAGTTTACATCCATTTTTTTTCATAAATTTAAATACGTATGTCATCAGTTTGCATCCATTTTCTTTCATCAGTTTACATCTGTTTTTCATCAGTTTACATCTGTTTTTATTTTAGAAATCAACTAGTTCTGGGGGGGGTTTCCAGCCAGAAAAAACATTGATTCCAGTCTATGTGTGTATGGACACACAGGATCACATGCTGGGGGGTTTACTGGCTGGAGAAAAAAACATCAAAAGCCAAAAACAGCCGCTGTAAGGCTCCATACACACGGCACATTTTAATAACGCTGGTAATGTTAGCTGTATAAAGTCACATTAAAAATGCGAGTTTTTCAGCTTTATTTAGCATTTCTGCATTTCATGTTTGCTTTTTTTAGTTGAGTTTCTTTTTTTTCCAAAAAAATTTTTTTTTTGCTAAAAAAAAGTCCAAAAAACTTCAGTTTGCTGTGTTTTGACACGTTTTTCAGCATTTGTGTCAGTCAGCGTTAGAGCGTTTTTACAGCTAAAAAAACTCCTCTAGAAACCCACTAGTCCTGGATTTTTTTCCTGCCAAAAAACGTTGATTCCAGTCTATTTGAGGATGGACACATAGGAGAACATGCTGGGGAGTTTACTGGCTGTAGAAAAAAATGTAAAAACGCCAAAAACAGTCGCTGTAAAAACGTCCCGTGTGCATGAGGACATTTTGATAACACTGCTAACGTTAGCTGTCTAAAGTCACTTAAAAAAACGCAGGTTTTTCAGCTTTTTTTTGTGTTTTTGCATTAGCTTTTGACAACGTTGTTCCATGTTCAGCACCGTTCTCCCACATTTTTTTCCGTGTTTGTATTTTTTAGCATCCCCCCCCCCCCAAAATTTTTTTTTTGCTCAAAAAAAGTCCAAAAATGCCGGTTTGCGGAGTTACAGCTAAAAAACTCATCTAGAAACACACTAGTTCTGGGGTTTTTTCCCAGCCAAAAAACACTGATTCCAGTCTATGTGTGCATGGACACATAGGATAACATGCCGGGGATGGACACATAAGATAACATGCCGGGGATGGACACATAGGATAACATGCCGGGGATGGACACATAGGATAACATGCCGGGGATGGACACATAGGATAACATGCTGGGGATGGACACATAGGATAACATGCCGGGGATGGACACATAGGATAACACGCCGGGGATGGACATATAGGACAACATGCTGGGGATGGACACATAGGATAACATGACGGGGATGGAGACATAGGATAACACGCCGGGGATGGACACACAGGATAACATGCCGGGGATGGACACATAGGATAACATGCCGGGGATGGACACACAGGGTAACATGCCGGAGATGGACACATAGGATAACATGCCGGGGATGGACACACAGGATAACATGCCGGAGATGGATACATAGGATAACACGCCGGGGATGGACACATAGGACAACATGCCGGGGATGGACACATAGGATAACATGCCGGAGATGGACACGTAGGATAACATGCCGGGGATGGACACATAGGATAACATGCCAGGATGGACACATAGGATAACATGCCGGGGATGGACACATGGGATAACATGCCGGGGATGGACACATGGGATAACATGCCGGGGATGGACACATAGGATGACATGCCGGGGATGGACACATAGGATGACATGCCGGGGATGGACACATAGGATGACATGCCGGGGATGGACACATAGGATAACATGCTGGGGGGTTTACTGGCTGTAGAAAAGAAAAGCAAAAGCCAAAAACAGTCGCTGTAAAAACGCCCCGTTTGCATGAGGACTTAAAGGGATGAGGGTGGCAACCCTAGGCATACATCAAGAAAAGCACACATACCCATAGCAAGCCTGTAATAGAAAGGTACTCCCCTGCTCATTACTAATACCAGAGACTGCACTGTTCACTGTTAACTCTTTCCTGTAAAGACTGGAAGTTCAGGAAAGCAGCACTGAGCAGCATTGCAAGCTGTAATGTGAAAGTGCAAAGAATTGTAACAATTAGTTGTTTTTTTTTACACTAAAAATGCTGAGGGTCCAATACAGGGGTGGACTGACAACTCATGGGCCCCCCGGGCAATAGGGGATCATGGGGCCCCTGTGTCCTTGCCCAAACTCAAAAAAAGCCTATGAAAAAGGTACCAGGGGCATCTCATGGGGCCCCCTACTGACCCCCGGGCCCTCGGGCAGCGCCCGAGTTTCCAAATGGTCAGTCCGCCCCTGGGCTAATACTACTTTAAGGAAAGTTTTTCCCGAGCTGAAAATAGAAAAAAAAAGCCCCTAATAATTAATGCAAAACATGAGGATGTAATTCAGGACTAAGTAGTGACTATTCCCTGGTGGCCACGTTGCTCTATCACAGATTAATAATTTAGTGTTCTTCTCTGACATAAAACAGCGGACTATCAGTAAGTTAATGTGCCGTTTCGTTGCTTTCTTTGCAAAAAAAAAAATACTTTTAGCAACTCATGAATGTTTCAGAAAGCCATTTCAGTGCCAAGAAGATGGCACCATAAATCGTAAAAAAAAAAAAAAAAAATCAAAATGCAGCCAGTTGTTTCTGCATCCCAAAGCTGTTTTTAAGCAAACACCGCCATCTTTTCCGGAGGGCGCTTCGGAATGGGTCGCTTTAGCGGAACGCACAGAACACTTTGCATGCGGGGAGAATGGAACATATTCGGCTATCGCACAATTTGTGGCTTGTGAGTCTTAAAAAGATCCTACATCTGTTCGATGCTGAATTTACGACGTCCCAGCCCCAGGCTTAAGTAGCATCAAATTCTAGTTAATACCCATCAGAGGGCTGTAATGTTACAATAGAAGGTCTGTTCTGGAATCATTCAGACAAGGAATGGCGCGGCTCCGTGGAAGCGGCGTGGAGGCCAGCGGGAGCCGGATGGAGGTTTCCGTTCACATATATGCATTTTACGTTTCATGCATTTTGCAGTTTGTTTTGCATTTTTTTCTACATGTGTTTTTGACGCATTTTTGATGCGTTTTGTATTTTGTTCAGCTCTTTTTTTTTTTTTGTTAAAGTGGATTTTATTTTTATTGTTGCTGGGACAGAATAAAAATACAAAACGCAGCAAAAAATGTGCTACCATACATTTCAGCAGCTTCTCGTTGAATTCTATTATAGCAAAAACGCTGCTTTTAACCACTTGCCAACCGTGCTATAGCCAAATGACAACTACAGCGCGGTTGTCCAGTTCTGGGAGGGTGTCATATGATGTCTGATCACCAGGGGCGGACTGACCATTCGAGAACTCGGGCACTGCCCGAGGGCCCGGTGTCAGTAGAGGGCCCCATGAGATGCCCCTGGTAACTTTTATAGGCCTTTTTTTTAGTGTGGGCAAGGGACACAGGGGCCCATGATCCCCTATTGCCTGGGGGGGGGCCCCATGAGTTGTCAGTCCGCCCCTGCTGATCACCGTGATGTGGTAAAAGACCAATCACAGCGGCCTTTTACCACATGATCAGCTGTGTCTCCAACGACACAGCAGATCATCGGGTAAAATGCAGTTGACGGTTATCGGCTGCACTTTCCTCACGCTGTCACAGCATGAGGAAAGTACTGCCGATAACCGGCAATTGTCAGAGGACGGATCGGCACCAATCATCAGGGCACTGATGATTAGTGCCCTGATGTTCAGTGCCCAGCAGCGCCACCCACCTGTGCCCAGCAGTGCCTAGTAGTGTCATCCACCAGTGCCACCCACCTGTGCCCAGCAGTGCCATCTTTCAGTGCCACCCACCTGTGCCCAGCAGTGCTAGTAGTGTCACCCACCAATGCCACCCACCTGTGCCAGCAGTACCTTGTAGTGTCATCCACCAGTGCCACCCACCTGTGCCCCAGTGCAGTGCCACCCACCTGTGCCCAGCAGTGCCTAGTAGTGTCACCCACCAGTGCCACCCACCTGTGCCCAGCAGTGCCTAGTAGTGTCACCCCCACCAGTGCCATCTACCTGTGACCAGCAGTGCCTAGTAGTGTCATCCACCAGTGCCACCCACTTGTGCCCAGCAGTGCCACCCAGCAGTGCCACCCACCTGTGCCCAGCAGTGCCACCCACCTGTGTCCAGCAGTGCCTAGTAGTGCCACCCCCACAGTATTGCCTAGCAGTGCCACCCATCAGTGCTCCAGCAGACCACTGGTGTGAATGTCTCTGACCAAACAATCAGAAACAGACTTCATGAGGGTGGCCTGAGGGCCCGACATCCTCTAGTGGGCCCTGTGCTCACTGCCCGGCACCATAGAGCTGGATTGACATTTGCCATTCAACACCAGAATTGGCAGGTCCACCACTGGTGCCCTGTGCTTTGCACAGATGAGAGCAGGTTCACCCTGAGCACATGTGACAGATGTGAAAGGGTCCTGGAAAAGCCGTAAAGAACGTTATGCTGCCTGTAACATCATTCAGGATGACCGTTTTGGTGGTGGGTCAGTGATGGGCTGGGGAGGCATACAGTGGGGAAAATAATTATTTGATCCCCTGCAGATTTTGTAAGTTTGCCCACTTACAAAGAAATGAAGGGTCTATCATTTTTATCATAGGTGCATTTTAAATGATAGAGACAGAATATCAACCAAAAATCCAGAAAAAAACCACATGATACAAATGTTATAAATTGAGTTCAGTAAGTAAAATAAGTATTTGATCCCCTACCAACCAATAATGATTCTGGCTCCCACAGACTGGCTATGTGCTCATGTGGTACACAGATCAGTCCTGTCAATTTAAGAAGGGGTTCCTAAGGACAACTCGTTATGTGTATAAAAGATACCTGTCCACAGAATCTCAATTCTTCAATTCAAACCTCACCATCATGGGTAAGACCAAAGAGCTGTCAAATGGCATCAGGGACAAGATTGTAGACCTGCACAAGGCTGGACCCTCAGCAAAAAGCTTGGTGAGAAGGAGCCATCTGTTGGAGTGATTATTCACAAATGGAAGAAATACAAAATATCCATCAGTTGCCCTCGGTCCGGAGCTCCATGCAAGATTTTTCCTCATGGGGTAAAGGATGATTATAAGAAAAGTGGAGGATCATCCCAGAACTACAAGGAGGAGCTTTTGAATGATCTCAAGGCAATTGGGACCACAGTCACCAAACAAACCATTGGTAACACAATATGCCGCCATGGATTGAAATCCTGCAGTGCCCGCAAGGTCCCCCTCCTCAAGAAGGCACATGTTCAGGCCCGTCTGAACTTTGCCAATGAACTTCTATAGCAGCGGTTCTCAACCTGGGGGTCGCGACCCCTTTGGGGGTCGAACGACACTTTCCCAGGGGTTGCCTAAGACCATCGGAAAACACATATTTCCGATGGCCTTAGGAACCGAGACACCGCTCCTTGATCCGTCTGCAGGTGTGGGCGGGATGACATGCCGTCCTCCCTGTCATCTGGACACACCCCCGGGATCAATCCTTCCTCGTCGGTGATTGGCCGCCGGAACTGTAGCTCAAGAGAGGCACACAGGCGGCCAATCACCGGCGAGGAGGTGGAGCTTGGAAAGGAGGAGCCGAGCGACACCGCGAAGCACGAGCGAGTGAAGAGGAGGAAAGCGGCCGGAGAAGGAAGCCATCTGACCGGTAAGTGTTTGTACCATGGGAGAGGGAGGGAGCGAGCGAGCCCAGGCTGGAGCAGGGGTCAGCAAGGTAAGTATCATTGGTGTCAGTGGGAGGAATAGTGCCCAATCATTGGTGTCACTATTACCAATGATGGGGGCACTATTCCTCCCCCCACTGACACCAACGATGGGGCACTATTCCTCCCACTGACACCAACGATGGGGCACTATTCCTCCCACTGACACCAACGATGAGGCACTATTCCTCCCACTGACACCAACGATGGGGCACTATTCCTCCCACTGACACCAACGATGGGGCACTATACTTCCCTCTGATACCAACGATGGGGCACTATTCCTCCCCACTGAACCAATGATGGGGCACTATTGCTCCCCCTGATGCCAACGATGGGGCACTATTCCTCCCACTGACACCAATGATGGGGGGCACTATTCCTCCCACTGATACCAATGATGGGGCACTATTCCCTCCCACTGACACCAATGATGGGGCACTGATTCCTCCCACTGACACCAATGATGGGGCACTTTTCCCCCCACTGACACCAATGATGGGGCACTATTCCTCCCACTGACACCAGTGATGATGGGGCACTATTCCTCCCACTGACACCAATGATGGGGCACTATTCTCCCACTGACACCAGTGATGGGGCACACTATTCCTCCCACTGACACCAGTGATGGGGCACTATTCCTCCCACTGACACCAATGATGGGGCACTATTCCCCCCACTGACACCAATGATGGGGCACTATTCCCCCCACTGACACCAATGATGGGGCACTTTTCCCCCACTGACACCTATGATGGGGCACTATTCCTCCCATTGACACCAACGATGGGGCACTATTCCTCCCCCACTGACACCAACGATGGGGCACTATTCCTCCCCCCACTGACACCATTGATGGGGCACTATTCCTCCCCCCACTGACACCAACGATGGGGCACTATTCCTCCCCCCACTGACACC